ACTGTGAAGCTGGGTGACACGAGATCGAATCCTCCAGGGAGCACCAGTTCCTTCAAGATTACAGGTACACCTTGCTGACTAGTGCGAAGTAGCACGAAACCTGGGTCCAGAGTTTTGTGTTGACTACCTCCAACCACCATCTAAATCTCGAAAATACTTTATTTAACTGGTTTGACAAAAATAGGTAATTTTTAGGAGGAATATTTCAAGAAATAATTGAATTGAATATGTGACCGACAAATAATAATATATTCTAAAAATTACGTTTCACATTAATATACCTCTTGTAGTTGTCTTCTTTCATAAAACCACTACATCTCATGGTATTCAAGCCCATAGAATATAGATGAAATAACAACTGATTTCATACAGAGCAAACTCTGAAATTTTAGAGGTCACTGATTTGAACTGAAACACATCGATTTCGTCATACATCCCTACACAGTTCATTGTCCTTCATATCAATGGATAAGGAAAATATTAACCACTTATTCAGTCGAAAAGTTATGTAATGTATGAGTTACGTTCAACGTTCGAAAAATGTTGGAAGTTAGACACTCAGGTCGACTACATATATGTAAATTTGGTGACAAATTTCTATTTTATCAAACAAGTTTGTTTACATACAACTATGATGGTTAACCGAAATTTCGAAAATGACAAGTCAACATTAGCTGTTAAAGCACATGATATTATTACGAATATCTTTACTAGAGCTTGCAATTTTCTCAACAATTTCAATTGACTCATGATTTCAACAATTGAAATTACTAAAATCTCCACAAAACCCCTTCTGATAATAATCATCTGCTCATTAGTGATTGACTTCAAGAGATACTCCTGGAGTTCTAGTGAGAAGCTGTTACCAGTAGAGTTCAACCAGGTCTGTTGTGAGATATCGACTCACTGAGGACAATGGTGGACGGTGGCGCAATTTCGTGGATTGGTTGAAGTTAGACATTAATACCATTGGATGCCGGCTCAGTGGTCTAATGGTTAGGCGCTCGCGCGCGAGACTAATAGGTTCTAGGTTCGAATCCCACGGGGGGTCGTGGATGCGCGCTGCTGAGGAGCCCCATACTGGGACAAAACAACCATCCAGTGCTTCCAGGTTTTCCATGGTGGTCTAGCCTCAATTGACTCATGATGTCAACTATTGAAATTTCAGAAGTATTCATCATGTCTGTGACTTTCTGAGACAGATATTTCCTACAAAAGCATTCATTCTCAAAATCTGCACCCAATCTAACTTGTTTAGTACATCACAACTGTGTAGTTCAATATATTCATATCAGTTCTTTTTATTAAATGCACTGAGATGTTACAGTATCACATAGACAATATGATATATTATTATATTACACTAAATTAACTAGATGAATAAGGAATTATGCCCTTTCATAGTGTTCCATTCCCATTCAATACTTCATTCATGTAATGTATGAAACTCAGTAAGATATCAAGGTGATGCCTTTTTCTTCCAATTGATAATCGACTAGAAACTCGAAAAGAAAATCGTTTATTTGTGATAACTGATATTTTTCTTCTTTATATAACAGTATGGATATATGCTACAGAAAAACAAGAAAAAAATGCTGATACTTATCATTAATGTAATATTGGACATCCGAATATCCATCTCGTTGTTGATAAAATCTTTCGAAATTTCAGTCTCCAAATAGTCCAGTTATTTGAATAGATAACAGGTTGAGGGGGGGGCAGACTGCCATCCTCATATAACAAATGAATACATTTATTATGCCAATCAATATGTATGTAGAAGAACTAGATAACATGTGTGTGTATTAGATTTAAGTACTACATGTTTACAAAACATAGTCCTTTCATTAATAATCAGTCAACTTAATCAATGTGAGATGATTTATAACTATCTTAGTGTACCTGTCATTACTATTATTTAGGAAAAATTATACCCTCATTTGGAATCTTCTGGGACAACGGAAAAGAGGAAGACCAAAGAACACATTACGCCGAGAAATAGAGACGGATATGAGAAGAATGAACAATGGTGGGATAGAACTAGAAAGGAAAGCCCAGGATAGAGTGGGTTGGAGAATGCTGGTCGGTGGCCTATGCTCCATTGGGAGTGACAGGTGTAAGGAATTAAGTAATTTTATTGCAGATAATTTAAAAATTTAAAATTGTTTAACCACTAAATATTGTTTATTTGAATATTTTCATTCCAATTTGTTGTATAGTGTATCTTATAATGCTAATTTATTCGTATTTATGATATCTATGTAACATTTTAAAAGTCAAGATTTTAAACAAAACTACCAAAATAAATAGTAACTGCACGCCCAAGTCATGATCTGTGAAGTCAACCATAACGTGATAAATCACTAATATCCTTGAATAAATATGGCAGTAGATTATAAAATGACCGAATTTGAATGCATAAACCAATCGATTTAAGCTTAATAACTGGATGGTAGTGTAGTATTTGTCAGGAGGTGAGACATTTAAGTTCAGTTCCTTGTAGGTTTTTGAGTACATACTATTGACTTGTTACAAACTATATTGAAAATAGTGTATGTTATTCGCTATTTTTCTACAGTTCCACAGCTATTGTTAGTTTAGGATGAAAGTTGTTTTAAAATTCCATACAATCTTTACAAATTCATTTTTTAAATTGAAAATAACCATTGCTTTTATTCCTATGATCATATAAATTTAGTTGAAACGACATTTAACAACTATTAAAATTAAAAGTGTAGACATCTGTAAACTCTACAGAATTTCCTTAAAGCTACTTTAAGAAGACTAAATAACGTCAACCATACGTCCAGTTTTCCAGTCGGACACATAAAATTAAAGAAATTTCATGGTATAGACGTTACAGTTGGAACATGGGTACAGTGGTATGAACTTATTTAAGATGTTTTAATAATTAGCATGGAATCTATATCTAACAATTTTGTCCTGTTAAATTCCTAAAAATAATATTAAAAACAAATACTAATATTTTAGTGTTGTTTGCAACAATGAGTATGAATTAGTCCCCCCCCCTCAATTAAACCTTCAACAATGATTGCAATCGTGCTAAACGAATGAGAACAAGACTTGAACCTTATACGTACAAAGATATTCAAGTTATATAAAGTTGAGCATGAATTATTTGAATAAATGCTCAAATTAATAAAAGGTGAGGATGGCTCTTCATTTGTCAAATATATGTTAAACATTTTGTGGATTCCCGATATTTACAATCTTATTTTACAAATTCATCATTATCCCGGTTGACAAAATATGAAACAAAATCAAATGGTTTAATAAAGACTTTGATGTTAATTCATATGCTTTTGCATTTCTGAGGTAACATGTTCACTCATGTTGTGCTAATGTACATATACGTAATCCAATTTTCGGGTCTGGATATGACTTCAACTTCGTACCTACCTAACTTAATAAAAAAACGAAAATATGATTGATTGGATGTGATTAGGATTTATAAGTAGATAATTTAATATTGGTGAATACTCGATGAACGAGTTAATGGATCTAACCTCAGTTCCGAATTCATTAGTATCATATGTATCGGGTTCCTATTAGATCAGGAAATTTACCTTAGGAAAAAACAATCCTGTTAGTGCCTAACAGGTCAACCATTATACAACGAGATCAAGTTTGTATGGTATTTGTATTGGCACTGTTGTGATCAAACCGTGTCTGCAACATTCAAGTTCCAGAATACAACGGCATTACTAGGTGAAGTATTCTAGGATAGTTTGCAATAAAAAAACACTTCTGTCGCTGTTGACATATTCACAACACACTGTGCTGGTTTTAAGACATAAATATATTAGCACTGTATTCAGCTGTGTCGTTTGGTATACAAAATTGTTAATTCGCTTCATTAGTTGTGAATATTTATTTTAAGCAACTCTAGTTCATCCAAGTAGTTGGGGCAAGTGATTTGAGCAGTCAGGTTGTATGAATTAAAACCTATTCAGGCATACTACTGTGGTCTAACTGGTTAGTAATTACTCCCAGTCGTTGCGACTCTTTTTCTTTTAGGTCCCGTTGTACTTGACTGTCATGTTTATTGAGCACAGAGTAATGATCACATGACCTGAAGCCTACATTTTCATACGAATATATTTACTATTATCAGAATGGGTTTTGTGGAGATTTTACAAGTTAGACATTAACACCGTTGGATGCCGGCTCAGTGGTCTAGTGGTTAAGTGCTCGCGCGCGAAGCCACTAGGTCCTGGGTTCGAGCCCCGCGTGGTGTGGGACCGTGGATGCGCACTGCTGAGGAGTCCCATACTAGGACGAAACGGCCGTCCAGTGCTTCCAGGTTTTCAATGGTGGTCTAGCTTCAACTGACTCATGATTTCAATCTGTGATATTTACTATTAACAGACAACCCATATACCATGGATGATTCGATCAATCGCATTTTTGGCATGAAATTACCGCTATTCGGATCTTTGTTGCTGACTATCCTTTAACAGACCTCTATGAAACAGCTAGGCAGTGATCTCATTGTAAAATGCTGAGATGCCAAAATGATAAGGATACATTATTCAATACAAAATTTCATTCTGAAAATGATATGATTAGCCCCAGTATGTACAATGAATATATAACTTCAATTTTATGAGATCGCCAACTAATTACGGATAATTAAATGGCATAAAAAATGCAGATCAAGCACAATATTACCATCGAAGTGACTCATACCATGTTAATAACACCATATGCAAATGGTTTATTTATTGTCCGAATGTATGGTGTAAATGTCCTTTCATTTGAGGCATTGAATCCAGATGCATATACACATTGTATGTGCATGGACAATATACCTGTCCTCAACTTTTATGGTCAATGTAGTCTATGGGTCAAGGTTATAACATGTGAATTCGTCGCCTCTATTGGATGTCAGCTAACAACTGAGCGTAATATGACAAGCTCAACTGACCAATCAGAGTGAGAGTAGACACATATAATGTTCATAGCATGAATTTCACGCTGACATTGTTCATGCCTAGGCTAGCATTGACATATCGTTACTGACTATAGGATTGTTTAGTCGGGCACGTTTCAATTAAGTCTATTCCGGAATTATTCCTGATATCTTCGATACATGTAGTGTCCATGTGAAATTTTTCTCGGATTAAGTAATGTCTATATCATGTGCTGGATGCGGTGGTCCCATAGTAGAGAAAACTCTCTTAAATGCAATCGATCGGTTTTGGCACACTTCCTGTTTGAATTGTTCTTGTTGTGGTCTACGGCTTGATGAATTAGGACCTTCCGTTTTTGTTCGCTCAAATATGCTGTTATGTCGACAAGATTACCTTAAGTAAGTTTATCATCTAGATTATTAAGAATAACTTCACTAGTTTACCTATCCATCGTTATTTTTGTATCCGTTTTGTTGTGGCATGCTATAGTAACTAAGTTTTGCACCTTAATTTGTAGCGAATCTTGAACCATCTGGTTTAGCTCCAGATTATATTTAGTGATGTCATGGAGACCGATTCTTCATTCAGCCCTTGAGTAATATTAATAATGTAAATTTGACGGAGTAGTGACTGGCAAAGCGTTCGACTTTCAGTCTGATTCGAACTGCTCTATACTTCAGTTTGATCAAATGAGTAGCATTATTAGCTTTCATACGTACACTAGCCAGGAGTCAAGAACACAGATGTAGCTGGTTGGTGAGTTAATAATAGTAATTAGTAATCTGATCGCAATGAAGCAAATGCATTCTTCCTGTGGGTTTAAAACGTCGTGTTATCCTACATACGAGTCGTATATTTTGATACGTCCTAACTTGTTTTAACTTTTGCTGGCTCACTAATATTAGTATCCTCTTTATTAGTTTGTCCAACTTCATGTTACTTTGCTATTTGCCTCTGTAAAATACCACCATTAAACATCGTAAGTGTACAATCGATGAGTTGATAAACTCTCAGATCTAACTACTTCACATTTTGTGACGAAAAGACATAGATTTATATCACTTTTCAATGACAGGAAATTATTCAATTTGGTTGAGTTTTTTCAATGTATTACTTCTTCTAGTGTTATATATTCATCTCATCTTCAAGTTTGTACACTCAACTTCAGGCAAAACCTTTTAAGGGTTAATGAAACTACACAACTCCAAACCAAATATTAGGTGATCTAATCAAAAACCTGTCGGTTGAATATCTGTTGACTTAATCACTAAGCCACCTGGAAGTATCGTCGCTACTTTTTTCTACAGAATATATCACTTCGAATCACTACTTTATTCCTACTTTTATTGTTATTGTAGCTATATTACCAGTTTCTGCATATTGTGCGTAACTATCTTCGATGCTACATATTGTTTAAGCTTTTAGATCTGTCTATCAATTAAGGGACGAATATACTGCGCAGCAGTTCGTTCTGTTCTACTTTACAGCTGCAAGACGTGGTCATTAAGAGTAAGATATACTCTTGAGCTACTAGTATTTGATCACATGTCTTAGGAATATTGCTCGCATGTGCTGGGATCGCCGGGTAAGTGATAGTGTGGTTAGATGGAGGATATTAGGGGATGATGGTTAGTCACTTGATGAGGTTGTAAATCTTCATTGACTGAGGTGGTTGGGCCACGTGTTACGTATGCCTGAACACCGATTACCATGAATCGCAATGCTGATTAGTGTTGGAGACGGTTGGAAGAAAGTTAGGAGCGGCCAAACCAAAACGTGGCATCAGTGCTTGAAGTCACTAACTTCTGGTCTGAGCCATGTTGGTAGATGCAGACTACTTGGTTGGGGTCCGCATGACTATCGTAACCAGTCATTGGAGACTGGGTGACATGGCTCAGAATCGATCACAATGGCATCGTTGTATAAACTCTTTGTCTCCCATTAAACTGTGAGACTAAAAATGCTTTATGTCTTTCTTTCTACGAATTAATTTTTTCTTCCTGTACTATATCCTTCCATGTAATCCTTTTTTCATATACTACTACCATTGAAGACTCCGCTGACAAAATGCAGTCTTTTGGTAGCACTAAGCAACAATGCCAGAATGTTTGTAATGCGCTTCTCTCCCTCTAAATGCAAGTTGTTGCTTCAGGACTGGCCTGCGTCAACACCTGAACTAAGGATAGGGAGTGAAGTGGTCGAACGCGTTGACAACTTCACTTATCTTGGAAGTCTGATCAACCCTAATGGGCTGGTATCGGACGAAATCTCAGCACGGATTCGAAAAGCTCGTTTGGCTTTTGCCAACTTACGTCACCTTTGGCGAAGGCGAGACATCCGTCTATCAATAAAAGGACGAGTATACTGCGCGGCAGTCCCTTCTGTCTTACTTTACGGCAGCGAAACATGGTCTTTAAGAGTAGAAGACACCCGTAAGCTACTAGTATTTGACCACAGATGCCTTAGAAATATTGCTGGCGTCTGTTGGGATCACCAGGTAAGTAATATTGAGGTTAGACGCAGGGTTTTAGGTAATGATGGTAAATCAGTTGATGAGGTTGTTAATCTTCATCGACTGAGATGGTTGGGCCACGTGTTACGTATGCCCGAACACCGATTACCACGATGTGCAATGCTATCCGGTGTTGGAGATGGTTGGAAGAGAATTAGGGGCGGCCAAACTAAAACGTGGCATCAGTGCTTGAAGACACTAACCTCTAGTCTGAGCCATGTTGGTAGATGCAGACTACTTGGTTGGGGTTCGCGTGACTTTCGTAACCGATGGTTGGAGACTCTTGGTGACATGGCTCAGAATCGATCACAATGGTGTAAGTGTATACACTCCCTGTCTTCCCTTAAACTAAGAGATTAAAATCACTTCATATCTTTCTTTCTACTAACTACTTCTTTCTTCCTGTACTGTATCCTTATATGCAATCTTTCTCCTATATATTACCACCTTTGACCTAACCACTCCTATGAATCCGGTGTTCATCTTGCTGTGCTAATGAGGTATGGCAACTTGGACCGATGCACATATGTGCCTGGTCCTACGTTGTCACTGACTGACTAGATTCAATTTATTTTCTACTTATGTCTCTATCGTTTACAGTTGAATGTCAATCGTTTCATCTTATTCTTGTATTTTGCTATTTCGCATTTGCTAAGTAGAAATAAACAAAATTCTCTTCATATCGGAAAACTGATGAACGAAGGATTTTTCCCATTAAGTTCTCATCAGGTTCTACAGTTAAAAATCAGAAATACGATCAAACTCGCAATTGGGAGCTCGTTTATCGTATCTGGCTAAGTAGTCTGATTTGTAGTGAATTTAGCAATATTTTCATCCACTCTTAAAATATAACTTGCTTTCTTTGATATTAAATTAACGAGTTTATGATGACTCTTTAGCCGATGTTCTTAGTGTTTTTCATTTACTTTGGAATATTCAAATACCACTTATTGCTTTTGTTTAATTCCGGACTTACGATTTTATAACCAAGTTTCTTTTCTGTTTGGCATTAGTCATATTGTGGTAGTAGAAGATAACTTTAAATGATTTCATTTCACTTTCTCGTTGCACCATTTCTAAGGATTATTAACTAGTTTCCAAAAAATAACTGTTCAAGCATTCACTCTTCCTGCTTCTGTTTGGGCATCCGGACAGTATCGTAGCCCACACATAAATTTGGTGCACTCTTGTACCACACATAAACCAATTGACTTATGTGGCGCATATGTATTCAGTTCCCTTTTCTACCAATATTTATGTTCAAATAAATAAATAATAAAAATAGATGAATCTTATAAATCACGGTATTGGGTGCCTGATATTATCACCAATCATCGGAAAAGCAATATGGCTCAGTAAAGTACACAATTGTTTTATGTGGTTCTGACTTACCACTGTCGACTACTAAAAGTTAAAAGTGCGGCTCAGAATCGTCTCTATTGGGTAACATTTTCTTGCCCATTCTCACATTTCTCCAACTTTCACTTAGTGTACGTAGATAGACAGCACACTTGGTAGTAGAAATTAATCAAATCCGTATATTACAAGTTTAAATCTGAATTCGTAGTTCGATTATATTTCGCTTTAACCAATCTTAAAATTAAACAGCTTCTATTTTTTGATCTCCGTAGTATACTACCGGATAATTTTATAATCGAGTCATATTTAGAGGCACTTTGTGGTTACTCGATGGTCTTTATAGACCTCCAAGTTGTGCAAACTTATTTCCTCTAGATGTATCCCATCATATTTGAAGTTCAGCTCTATTAAACAACTGCACGGTTATTTTTAAAAAGTAATTTCATACTCGTTTGTTAATTTTTGTATAAAACCATCGGATTAACTATATACTCTATTTTGGTCTGACATACTCTTTTTGTAAATTAGTTTTCTCTTATTTTCTAATGAACAAGTTTAGCCTATTAATTATCTTTTCTTAATTAGCTTCTCGCATGGTTGCTTCTATGTACGTATGCTGTATACTGTCTTGTGCACATATAAACATGCTTAGGTAGTTACGCGTTGTTAATGTGTAAGTGACATACCTTTGTAGTTACGTTAATTAAGAAGCGTCTAACCTAAGTTGATACATAATGCCATTCCAACTCTTCTCTGCTATGGTATTGCAATATATATATATATATATATATATATATATATATATATAAACATTCCCTCAGTATCATACCATTTGATTTCATTGTATTCCCCCTTCTCCATGGTCTTGTCACTTCCTCATCTCGTTTGTTTTCGATTTCTTTTTGTCATGTTTGTTACCACCAGACAAAAACCAAGTTAGAGAAATAGCGGAAAGAAGGTAAGTGATAGGACGAAAGTAATATTTCTGATGCAAAAAATAATGGTGCCTAAAATTAGTTTTTTATTTATCTAACTGTTTATTGGAAAACTGAATATAATAAATGGTAGAGGAAAACAAGGTAGATGCCAGTAAACAAATAAACTCATCACAAATAGTAATCATAGTCTACTAGCTAATTAACTTTTAGAAAACTCATTTAAACTTAATTTATACGTAAATTACTTATTTGTTTTCTATACATACAAGTTTGGTTGTCCGTATATACTTTATAGTATAGACATAATATGATTGTCATTTATAACACAAATTTTACCCACTAAACACTTGCTGGACTAAAACGTTTGAAGCTTTCGTTAGCCATATTTGTTTATTTGGAGTTTACCTTTTAAATGAACTGGCCGATTTCGCTTGTTAAGGTCTAGTCTTATTTGGAGGGAGTTCTCGAAATCAATTTGCTATTCTAATAACTTGATCTACTTTTGTATTCCAGTTTCCTTTCTACTGATATTCAATGAGTCCTTTTTGTTACGTGTGCGTATTTAGTTTCTACTCCCGTTGTACATAAATTTCAAGTCTGTTAAAATTTATAATGGTTAAAATTAATTTCTATTTCACCTGACTAGTCATGTAATAGACTTTGAACCCCGACTACCAGAGCTAATGATTATTTTCCTAAACCGAAACGTATGGTTCAAGGAGACGACCAAATAGTTGAAGGATAGTTCGTCAAACAGATGAAAACTTCATATAGTAGCTAGAGCATTCAAATTTATTGTTGCAATAATTTTTGGATATTCCCCTTTTGTTTTTGTAGACTGTTTGGCCTATCAGGAACATGCGCCAAATGTCGAGTTCAAATTCCTCCAGATGAATTGGTGATGAGATGCCAAGACAAAGTCTATCATGTGAACTGTTTTTGTTGTACTCACTGTCATTCTCTGTTGCACCCCGGTGATAAAGTGTGTTTTATGGATGGCAATTTATTTTGTGAGCATGAATTCCCTCATTTGTTTTCTGGGCCTCCCAAACTGACTTCACTAAGATTAACATCATCTTCTGCAAGTCCTTGTACTTCTAATGATTCTGATATTAGTCGTGGCCAAATGACCATTGAGTTACAAACAAAAATGAATGGTGCTTCATCTTCTAGATCTTTCAATATAAATCCCGCGTCTTTAGAGCAGCAACAACAACAGCCATCTGGTGCTTTGCCAAATAAACTCATATTTTCCCAATCCGATATTTTATCATCACTCAGTCCTCATCCATCCAGTCCAATTATGTCATTTCCTAATAACATGCAACCAAATCAAGATAATAATCAGCAACTTGTGCAACACGGGTTTTATGTTACAGACGTTGAGCAACCGTTCGGTGACACAACTAGTGTACAAAACTCATCCGAAAAACCTTTGAAATCATCAATGATTAACACGACAAATGAGACAACTAATGGTCGTAAAAAACAACAAAAAGTTAGTTAACTTGATAAGGTTTTATCTAGTATCACAAGATGTTTTCTTACAAAACAATAGCACAAAAGTCATTAATTCATACTTCCATTTAGATTGACAACTAGTTAATAGGAATTTATTAGTTTCAGTAAGTAAAGTTACGATTAGGAATTGCATTCGTACAAACAAATTTTATAATTCTGTTTCTTTTTGATTCCAGCGTGTACAATTATGATCAAGTGGATTATAATAAACTAGCATATTGACACATCATTATACTATTGGATTGCGCTTTGAATTATAGAGGTCCGGATCGTAAATTTACCACTATCTATTTTCAATCAGTATACACACTCTGTAGTCTGTCTAATTCATCTTCGTGAAGAAGAATGAAATTCCAGCTTTACACATTTGTAATTAGGGGATTTAATTTAGTTTGACATTTTATGTAAGTAGAGGAAAATAACTAAATATTTCAAAACATATGTATCTAAATAATAAATAACTTAAGTTGGAAAAATCCTGTATAATTTACATATTTTGTGAGATGTGAGTTCATAACACACAACATCCGAAAATATGTTTTGATGATCAAAAAGCTGATATGATATCACAAACTCGTCGAAATCGTAAAGTTTTGACGATTTAATTCTACTTAATATTCTGTCTTGCCTCATTTCCAGCGATCATCCAACTAACATGTCAGCTTTATCTTAACAAACATACAAGCGAATAGTAATAATATTTTACAGTCATCGTAATATAAGCGTGGTCCTATATTTTGTAGGGATTAATTCCACTTAAAAACCTACATTCACGGTAATCCGATAAGCGAGAGCACTCTTCGTAAAAGATGAACAAAAATAAAATAGCCATTTTGCTACGGACGTACGAATTCAATCAATTGTTTGAGAACAATTCCAATTAACCATGAGAATGCATAAATGTCCCATAAAGTAACCATACCATGCAAGAGTTATGAAGCTATCCTCTTGTTTATATTCTTGACTAATCGGAGTTTAGTCAAAGATATCAACAATAGAATAACCCAATAACCCTTAAAAAATAGATTAAATTAGTACCCATTGCACAATTGAGAGGTTATCTACACTTAGTAGCTAAGTGGATGTTGCATTGGCGTTTGAAGAAAAGGTACTTTGTTCGAATCATGAAGTGTACATAAACTATAGGGTGCAAGCACATCTAACTGACGAGTCCCAAATAGGACGAAACGCGCCTTGGATTCCACTGCTAGCCACAATCTGTTTGTATCAAACCATATGGTGATCAATAAAGAGGATACCTGGAAGTTAGTAGCACTGCCACTCAATTCTGTTTGCGATCACCGTTGAATTCGCGTTAAATAATGGCGGAAGCCTGGATAATCTAGCATTAAAATCTTAACAGTTTCAAAAGTATGTGACTGATCTGCAAATTCTCAGTATCTTTGTTATCTTTTATCTTCAGTTGATTGTGGAACCTTGAATTGTAGTTGTTTAAGAAAGCCACTTTCAGAGCATTGACCTCAGAACAGTTATTTTTTTGTTAATGAAATGGACTCTAATCTTTTTTTAGTTGGACACTTCAAAATTTATTGACTGACATCTAGTACGAAAGCTATCACGTAGTTTTAAAATACATTTCCATGTGAAAGACTGCGAATTAATTAGTGCATTTCTCGCTTGTATTGATTGATGCTAAGATAGTCACAAGATTAATCAAATTCTACTAGAAATGCCAAGAAATATTCAGGAACGATAACTGCCCGCGCATTTTCACGCAAGACCTTTGCTCTCTGGTTGACGTTGCTCTTAGTTCGCTAGATTTCTATGTACTTGGAATTCATTTTACTACTATGGATACAATAGTTGTACTAACTCGTTCTGTGTTGCTTGTCCAACTTCAAACATCAAGTTCCCTGCAATCTGTTCTCTTTTCGTGTTAGCCATCAGGGTTTAATATGTCGTGTGTAAATAGCCGTTGTCGATTTTGATGATAACCTATCGTAGTAGAGTATCTTAATCTTTTTGTCCCTAAATCCGTAAACATTGTAGGCCCTTAATCAACACCAATAACCAGAAACAACAATTACAGATGAATTATCACTAAAGTATATTGAATCTTACGAATTTGGCCACTTCATTTACTCAGCATAGATTAAAATCCACTTGATTGGCCATCTTAAAACAAATATTTCGTCTACTACTGGATAAAGTTGGAATGGAAATAATCTGAAAATAATCAAAAGTTAATATAGAATAAATAGTCAGTAAGGTCACTCATACTGTTGATTATTTGCTGTAGTCCGTGTACTTCCTAACTCAAGTGGTCTGTTTGTGTCGAGAAGACAATCGATCGTAGTCTAAGGTTCAGTATTATATTATGTGTTCTTTCCGGTGTTTTCACTGCCACATAATTCTCTTACATCGACTTAAGCACCTAGATTATTAACTCTTATAATATTTCGGTTTTACACATATTTTCTCCGAATTCATCATACCAAAATTAATAGGTCTGGGATTTTGAAACAGCGTTACGATTTTTTACGGTGTATCTAGGTCATTTTTGTTGCTAAAGCTCAATTTGTATTTTATAATGTTTACTTGACTTCTTTCTTTACTTATAGAAAGTAGATAACCGTCGTTGCCCTGCGCTCCGTGTTTGTTGAGCTTGAAAGACTATATTGTGATTGGTCCTTTAGAACCACAATTCTTTTCGCCAATTTTTCAAAATTTTCTTAATGTAAGAATTGAACGTTTATCTTTTTCTGTTTCGTTTTTGTAATAAAAACTTCACCAGACTATTTGGAAATATGTACTATCAATTAAGACGTTCAATATTCATTATTCTTTGCTATAACAGTTTGTACAAATATTTTTTGTTCTATCTTTAATCCTGTTCAGATAAATAAGTGCTTAAATCTCATGTTTTAGAGAACTGACATTTTGTCGTGCTTTGCGTTCATTGGGAGGGATCATCTGCATGCGTCTTAAGAAAACATGTTTTTCGTTTGTACTTGACATTTACGTATCATAGTACCGCTAAACTAATAAGATTTTACCAATTTTTAAAATCCTTTAATTAATACTTGTCGTTATAGCACAAATAGTGTCATTCTGTGAGAGGATTTTATCTTCTACCTCACCGGGTGTCTGTTCAGTGTATCTTAATGCATGACAAGTGATTGCATTTACCCAATCCTTAGAATTGTCGCTAAATTGAATTCTTCAATCTTAACGTATTCTTATTACCAAGGTTCCTCACAGTTTGACAGTATATAGTCTCCATCGAAAATTTGCCGTCAGAATTAACTAATTTAGAAACTGTATATCACGGTGGTGTTGTAATTATCTATGAGTGTAGATGGTGTTGTCAAATAGCTCGTATGTGACATTTGTTCAGTAAACACCAATTGTCGTGCTTCGGAATTTTCAACTTAGAAAGACTGTCGAATCTGTTATTCCTTTAAGGAAGTCAAGTTCCGAAAACCGGTATTTGTCCTACGAGATTCTCCTGAGATAAAGCAACATCTATGGAGTAATATACGTAACCATGGTATGGTTCAAATGGCCCGGTCTATTGGCTTACTTCCCAGGCTCTTCGTATATATGATTATTATGTATCTAATACGGTCGTAAATTTGATTGCATCGTAATATTTAATCGTTCATTCAACAAGTGATGGTAATATAAAATATGTTTCACTAGACTCCAAGTGTCAGGATTAAAGTAACCATAAGTTTGATAACATTCTGTATTGATGTATGCGACCCTAATCAATTAATGTAATAAGAATAATTGGACGTTTGTTGTAATCTGCCTGCGATACTTTTAAGCAAGAGTCAACTAGGCTACACGTCACACATGCAGTTGTTTAGAAGTAGAAATGCACTTGCTAATTTCCTGCTTTTCTTAACAAGAATTTTCACTAAGACAAATGGAATCCGGCTACGATCTAATAGTCAACTTTGCAGAACAGACCCATATAGTTACAAGGGATTGATCACTGGGTGGTGATCAATGGCATGTGTGTCAGGCTCTATCGACCAAGTTGCAATGTGGCCACTAGCCTAAGTGACTCGACATTGCGTTGAGATAAGGTATACATGTAACCTTGAGGGAATTGATGCTTACTGACGGATTCGATCCCATATCACCCAGTCTCAGTCAGGCGTTACCACTGGGTTATTCGGGCCGCGTCTGACCTGTACTAAGAAGGACTTGACACACATGACATTGATCACCACCCAGTGACCAATCAATTTTGAATACATCTCAATCCTACAGGAGGTCAGTCGCAGCCCGGGTAGCCCAGTGGTAACGTCTCAGACCGTGAAGCTGGGTGATATGGGATCGAATCCGTCAGGGAGCATCAGTCCCCTCAAGATCACAGGCACACCTTGCTGGCGAGTTCCAAATAGCCCGAAACCTAGGTCCAGGGTTTCCTGTCGATTACCTCCAACGTCTTGTCAGGCTCATAGATTCTTACTTAGCGACACTAAATGGTCTAGCTCTTATGACCTATCTATATACAAAATTGAAACTGTTATGATAAGAATTTAACTAAAAATTACTGCTGGTATTTTACGGCCTAATATTCATATACAGTACTCCCAAATAATAATCTTTTGAGTGAATCCGGGTTGTTAAGCAGTTAAAATCTAAGAAAAAATTAAATCATCCTAATACGGATAAAAACGTTGAAATGGTTAACAACAGAGTACGTGAAATAAAAGTGGGTTAGAGAAGAAACCAATTATATCATTGAAGAATAAATATAGTTCGGTGGAATAAATTTTCTTTTTGATGCGATATTTACTAAAGTCACAATCGTATTTAAAGTGATTTCCGAACACTGATATAATGTTTTCCATTGTTCAAAAGGCCACCACGATTGTATGGTTTCAGCAAATATTGGAGTGAAAATTCTATGTACTGAGTTATTTGTATAAAGTAAAACTGGAAAATATGCTTCGAACTAACTAAAATACAAAGTAAAATTTTAAGCTTTTATGTTTCAATAGAAATGGGAGCTGATTGTAATTAACAAAATAAATGACTAATAAAACCTGTTTTTGAAGAACTATTGCCTAATGATGATCAGTACAGACCATTGAAATCCAAGGATTTAATGATACCAGTTAGGATTTGACCAAAATGGAATCAATGTTACAGGATTCATCATAATACCCACAAAAGCGCTTGATGTGACTCAAGTCATGAAATGAAATAATCTAACCATTCTTAACATTCATCCATTCAAACTTTTACTTCTATCCTGGAAATACCCAATTGTTGGAGGAGTGTGAAGAGAGGTGTATGCTTGAGTATATGGAATGGATGAGAAATAGAAATGTTAGTTGGCGACTTATTGAACATGGAATACACTTTTAATGACGAGAACAATCACTAACAAATTGTAACGACGCAATGGTGATGTGGAAATAATCTGACAATTAAAACAATCAGTTATCATATAGGTTAAAAGTTCCTAATAAATTTGACTGCAGATTGAATAATAGCTAAACATGAATTTCCGATAAGTGAACATTTGATAGTTGTTTCCATTTGTTATACTATTTCTCAGTGAAACTTGTCAACAACTTTTCAAAATAAAAAGGATCAAGGGCCCTTAAATTTAATATACATAACAGTAAGCTTTTAATTGTAGGTCATGATTCCCAGTAATTAAGAATCGTGATCCCAGTTAAACATATGAAATAATGAATACTATTTTAAATTTCTGAAATTACATCAACAGAACTTCTACACAATAGGACACATTGAAATGGCGGTATAATGTATGACACTCAAGAATCCACTAGTACTGCGAAAAAAGTATATCCAAGTGATAAAAATTCAGTTATCAGAAACAACAGTGAGTATTTCATTTAAGATATCTGAATACGGTTGATAACGCGTTGAGAATTTGAAGCATAAGGTACCGAGTTCGAATTTAAGTGAGCTCTTCAGAATCGAAACAAAGTTACATACATCTAATAAGTTTCAAATAGGTTGAAATACGCTTCTAGATACTACTGCTAAACACATACGAATAAACTGAAATAGTATATCATATTTTGTACCAGCGTGAATTCACAAAACCATGTCGAAACCAATGCCCGAATTAGTACAGCATAAATTGATTTACAAAAATCCATTAATCAAAACAGAATAAAAGAGAGTTCATACTAATAGTAATGAATACAGGTCGAGACATTCTTCATCAGATGATCTTCCTGAATACTTGTGAAACACATTTACGTAACATTTATTCATAATGATAGTTACTGAAGTGAATAATTATTTATTTCACCATTAACAACAATGTGATTTGTCTTCTTACATAAACCTAAGTATCATCATCAGTTGTAATTAATATTGTTTAATTTATTAGTCAAAATTCTGTTTATTTTAAGGACTAGTGATTATTCTGTTCCTTTTTTTTAAAGCTGCTACCTAACTGATATATTTCTTCATTCGGATATTTGACTTTTACATTACTGTGCTATTTAATATGTAAACGGTAAAACTAATAACATTTCTTCTTTTGATAAATCTTCTTAATAAGTTTTCTTTTATTTGTATTCTTAGATGAAAATAATACACATTGGTCATTCTGTGTATAACTAAATATACAGAAATTCTCATGATTTATATTTATTATATTAATTAGTTTTTGACGTACTGGTTTTTTGACAACACAAGTTTATTCAGATATAATTCCATAAAAATAATGATAAACTATACATTCGAGTAATTATAATTATGATTATTTGAATTTCGATGAAATCAGTATTCTATCAATTTTATCTACAATTTTCATCATGCAATTTATATTACTTGGATAATCATTTGATATGAAATATATACTATTAGTGTCATTGATATCATTAACAGATCTTAGCTAGACCACCCTTGAAAAGTTGGAATCATTCGACGGTCGTTTTGTCCTGGTGTGGAATTCCTCAAAAGTACACATCTAAGGACCCGAATGCCGGTATCAAATCCATGACCTTAAGCCTCGCACGTAAACGTCCAACCATTAGATCACTGAATCAGCACCCAACGGTATTGCGCAACCGTCTTTCAATGGTGGTCTAACTTAGGTCGGTTCATGATTCTAATCAAATTCTTGTTAGATGTCATTAATCATCGATTGACGTGAACTAAATTGACCTGACCGTGTATACATTATATAAGGAAAAACTGAATTTTTATTATGAACTGCTACTCAACAACAGATGACGCATATGCAATGAAGTTACCCGTTGATTAGCCTTAAAATAATTTTCTATTCACATTACAACTCAATGTAAGTGAGAAGAAAATGTGTGGGGTTCTTCAGACGAAATGTAGGTCGAAATCGATGTCTCGATATACTGACTTTAATAGATTTGTTTTTACATTGATTTATAGTCAAATTTTGAACAAACTTTAACTGAATAGTGTTATGTCTTTTGGTCCTGTTAATTATCACGTGACTTATCGCCAATTAGAACACCGACTTATTGACCAGACTAATGACACATAAACCAGTACGAACAGCCTAGAGTCACTGCTAGTTCTTATTGGACTTTCGAGATAATGGCTTCTCGCCTAATCCAGCACGTTCAGTTCAGAATACCAATATCAGCCTCCGTTATATGAATCATGTATTTCAGAAGTACTTGGTTTATATACAAGCAAACCAGAAGCATCATGCCATAAAATAGAAAATGACAATTTTAAATGATCGAGCCAAAAAGTGGATGTGACTGTGAGAGACTAACTAATAAATTGGGAATAACTTGAGAATAGTAAATCGTATAATAGAAGTCAATAAGTCAAACGAAAGCTTATAATAAAAAGAATATTAATATACATATAACATAGTTAACTAACGGCTATACAATAAAAATACATAAAATAAAAGTCCATAAATATATCCTGGCAGTTACCACGCATTATTCTTCATCCGGACATAACAAATACCACTTACCAGTGGTTAATCAAAGAATTATTGTATGAAATGAATTTTAGAATAATGTGTATTCAAAATATCGCTAAAAAGCGCACTCAAGATTTATTAGATTACATGCTTGAATTCAGCCTTTACAAAAACACCCAACATACAACTTTGTACTTGAACCACCTTTGCT